AATGGGGAATGGCGTCAACAACCCGCTGTCCGCCCAAAAAAGAAGCCGCATCAATGCGCTGATCAACCGAACCCGATCGCAATTGACGAAGATAATCGTCGTGTGGAGAGCTGCAGTTAGATAAGAAAAGCAAAAGTATTGGCAGTATTTTTTTTAGTTTATACATGCTTTTAGGGCTTCGTAATTTGCCTTTATAGTCGCGTCAATATCCGCGTCAGAATGAGCCAGGGAAACAAACGCAGCCTCAAACTGTGACGGGGCCAGATAAATACCTCGATTGACCATCTCCCGAAAATACCGGGCGAACAAGTCTTGATCACACGCATTGGCAGCCTCAAATGATGTCACAGGCGCTTCCGTGAAAAACAAGGTCATAATCGAACCTACCCGGTTGGCCTGATATTTCAACCCCAAAGCTTTTAGGTTTTCCAGAATACCTGTCTCCAAAGCCTGGGCTTTTGCCTCCAATGCGTCATACACCCCCGGCACTTGCAATCGTTTAAGTGTCTCATATCCCGCTGTCATAGCCAGGGGATTGCCCGACAACGTGCCGGCCTGTGACACCATTTTGCCCAAGGGTGATATATCAGACATAATCTCTCGCTTGCCACCAAAAGCACCAACGGGCAGCCCACCGCCAATAATCTTTCCCAAAGTCGTCAAATCGGGCGTGACGCCATAAAGCTCCTGCGCCCCACCTGGGCTGACGCGGAACCCGGTGATGACCTCGTCAAAGATCAGCACAATACCCATTTCTGCCGTTACATCTCGCAAGCCCTGCAAAAAATCCGGCGCTGGCGGAATCACCCCCATATTTCCAGCTACGGGTTCGACAATAACAGCAGCGATTTTATCCCGATTTTCCACAACGGCTTTTTCCACAGCTTCCAGATCATTAAACGGCACCGTAATCGAATCTGCCGCAGTTCCAGGTGTAACCCCCGGGCTGCTCGGCGCGCCCATCGTGAGTGCCGAAGACCCCGCCTGAATCAAAAAACTATCGGCATGCCCGTGCCAGCATCCCTCAAATTTGACAATTTTGTCTCGCCCCGTGTGTCCGCGAGCCAGCCGAATAGCCGACATCGTGGCTTCGGTGCCCGAATTTACCATCCGCACCATTTCCACACTCGGCACTATTTCAGTAACCAATTGGGCCATCTTCACTTCGATTTCAGTTGGCGCACCAAAACTGGTCCCCTCCGCTACCACTGCATTGACAGCCGCGACAATTTCTGGATGTGCATGGCCCAAAATAAGCGGCCCCCAAGAACCTACAAAGTCGATATAAGATTTTCCATCGGCATCGACAATTCGCGCTCCCTCTCCTTTCACTATAAATAGGGGATCACCACCTACGGGGCCAAATGCCCTTGCAGGACTATTCACACCGCCGGGAATCACCTGTTGTGCTGCGTCAAATAGCGTTTTTGAACGCGTATTCAAATTACACCTCCGTGAGAAGACAAATGGGATTTAATACAAGATCTTAATTACACCTCTCATTTTATTCTGTCAAGTTAATTCCTCCCCTTGCAAAACACGACCACAATCCGTATATTATCTGCACAGCGGCAGTAGCTCAATTGGACAGAGCATCTGGCTTCGGACCAGAGGGTTGGGGGTTCGAGTCCTCTCTGCCGCACTTTCTTTTTCAGGCACTTAAAACTTAAGTGCCTGAATTTTTTTCACTTCTCACCATCACGCCAATGAGCGATACAATTGCCATCAGAGGTGCGCGTCAGCACAACCTCAAAAACATCGACCTGGACATCCCGCGCAACTGCCTCGTTGTCATCACCGGGCCTTCGGGATCGGGCAAATCGTCATTGGCCTTTGACACGATCTACGCCGAAGGACAACGCCGTTATGTCGAATCGCTATCCGCTTATGCGCGGCAATTTCTCGATCTCATGGACAAACCCGATGCCGATAGCATAGAAGGTCTCTCGCCTGCGGTGGCGATTCAACAACGCGGCATTCCCCGCACACCGCGTTCAACAGTGGGCACGATAACCGAAGTCTATGACTATTTGCGTCTCTTATTTGCCAGAATAGGCACACCTCATTGTCCGATATGCAACCAGCTCATTGTGCGCCAGGCCGTCGCGCAAATTGTCGATCGCGTGCTCGCACTGCCCGAAGGACAACGCCTTCAGATTCTCGCGCCCCTGATCCGAAATGCCAAAGGCACCCACCTGAGTGTTTTTAAGCAGTTGCGCCAAGAAGGCTATCTCAGGGTGCGCGTCAATGGCGAAGTTGTGTCACTGGATAGCAATATCAACCTCAATAAAAATACAGCGCACAATATTGAAGCCGTCATCGACCGCCTCGTTGTGCGCGGGAACATGGCCGCACGCCTCGCAGATTCGCTCGAAACAGCCCTCGACCTGGCTAACGGCACAGCCACACTCGACATCATTGACGATGAAGAATGGACCTTTTCCACGCGCTTTGCCTGCACAGAAGGCCACTTTGAAATCGAAGAATTAGAACCGCGTCTTTTCACCTTCAACAGCCCGCACGGCGCTTGCCCCACTTGCAGCGGTATGGGTACTGTTTTTGACAAAGCGGATACTTCCGACGAGGCACGGGAAAAAATCGAGCTTTTTATGCGAGGTCAAACCTGCCCCGACTGCAAAGGCACTCGCTTGCGCCCAGAAGCCCTTGCCGTCACGATTTCCAATTGTACAATCGCCGACATTGCCAGCATGTCCATTGCAAAAATTGGGCAATTCTTCCAAACGCTCAACCTGAAAAATAATGCGGCTGAGATCGCTGCCCCCCTGATACGCGAAATCGAAAACCGCCTCGCATTTCTCACGGATGTAGGCGTTGGGTATCTCGCGCTCAACCGCATGACCGCAACGCTTTCAGGAGGTGAATTTCAGCGTATTCGTCTCGCCACACAAATCGGAACCCGCCTCGTCGGCGTTCTCTACGTCCTCGACGAACCCAGCATTGGCCTGCACCCTCGCGATAATCGCAAACTCATCAACACCTTCTGCAATCTGCGCGATTTGGGCAACACGGTCATCGTAGTCGAACACGACCGCGAAGCCATAGAAATGGCCGATCACCTCATCGACTTAGGCCCCGGCGCAGGTGAACGCGGCGGCAAAATTATCTCACAGGGACCGCCAGAAACCGTGATCGCAGACAAAAGCTCTCTCACCGGCAATTATCTCTCCGGACGAAAAACCATTCCCCCACCTCCCGATATTCGCCAACCGCGCGGACATCTCTCAATCAAGGGTGCCAGCGGACACAACTTGCAAAACGTCAATGTCGATATTCCACTGGGCGTCTTTGTATGCGTCACCGGCGTATCTGGCTCGGGCAAAAGTTCGCTCATCAATCACACCCTGTATCCCGCGCTTGCCCGACAACTTCACCGCGCCAATACAGAACCATTGCCTCACAAAACCATCGAAGGTGTTGCACAAATCGACAAAGTCATTCGCATAGACCAATCCCCAATCGGGCGCACCCCGCGATCAAATGCCGCCACATATACGGGCCTTTTTACAGCGGTACGAGAACTCTACGCACAATTGCCCGAATCCAGAGTGCGCGGTTACGGCCCCGGGCGCTTCAGCTTCAACATCAAAGGCGGGCGCTGCGAAGCCTGCCAGGGCGATGGCGTGCGCCGCATCGAAATGCACTTCTTGCCCGATGTTTTTGTCACCTGCGACGTATGCGGTGGCAGCCGATACAACAGAGAGACCCTTGAGATCCGGTACAAAGGCAGTTCAATTGCCGACGTATTAAACCTGACAGCAAATCGAGCCAGCACCTTCTTCCGCAATATCCCAGCAGCGCAGCGACAACTCAAATCACTCGCCGACGTGGGCCTGGGTTATTTGCGCCTCGGTCAACCGGCCACATCCCTCTCTGGCGGCGAGGCACAGCGCGTCAAACTCGCAACAGAGCTGGCGCGAACCGCCACGGGCAAAACGCTTTACCTGCTCGACGAACCCACCACGGGTTTGCACTTTGACGACATCCGCGTCCTCATCGAAGTGCTCGACCGCCTCGTTGACCGCGGCAACACTATTCTCGTCATAGAACACAACCTCGACGTTATCAAACGCGCAGACTGGGTCATCGACCTTGGACCCGACGCCGGCGAAAACGGCGGCAACATCGTCGCAACCGGCGCGCCAGAGACCATTGCCGAAGTTCCATCTTCCCATACGGGCCGTTTCCTCAAAGAAATTTTAACCGCCACCACATAGTATTTTAGGAGGGTTTCATGAGTAACGTTCCAAACTATTTGGGAGATTACGCCGACCTTTACGCTGACAATCCACGAGTTGCAGCACGACAGTGGTTTCGCAATGCGCGTTACGGTTTATTTTTACATTACGGATTATATTCTCTAATAGGACGACGAGAGTGGGTACAATTGCGAGAACTCATCCCCGTTTCTGAGTATGGGAAGCTCATCAACGATTTTACGGCTGAAAATTTTGACGCCGAGCGCATTGCAAAATTCGCTGTTGACTGTGAGATGAAATATATCAACATCACGACAAAGCATCACGATTCGTTTTGTTTGTTTGATACTGCGGAGACGGATTTTAACAGTATGAATACACCAGCGGGGCGCGATTTGGTTGGCGAATTAGCCAGGGCGTGTGACAAGTATGGATTGGGGTTGTGTTTGTATTATTCGCATGGGCGTGATTGGAAGCATCCTCACGCGCCCAACAATGACGAATGGGGCGGTCATGCGAGACCTGAGTATGACCCGCCTGAGCCGAGTTACGCCACAGGGTCGGAACACAACTTACAGATATACCTCGATTTTGTACAAGCACAGATTACAGAATTGCTTTCCAATTATGGTCCCATAGCCGCGATTTGGTTAGATGGTATCATGACGCCTAAGAGTGGCGATGAGTCGAAGTTTAAGTGTCAAGAGTTATATGACCATATTCACAGCATGCAACCGCAGGGATTGGTTTCCTATAAGCAGGGATTGTTGGGTACTGAAGATTTTTATGCGCCTGAACATCGTGCAATAGAAGGGACTGACAAACCTATGGAGATATGTACGACAATGGGCGGTGGATGGGGATATTTTGCTGAAAGAGTGAATTACAAGGATGAGGAGGGGGTTTGGGAGACCTTGAGTACAGCGCGTAAGGGTGGTTGTAATCTGTTGCTAAACTGCGGTCCCTTGCCTGACGGTTCACTGGACGAGCGGGATGTATCCATATTACTTGCGGTAGGCGAGCGCATTCGGAAAGAGGGATTTCCAGAATAATGTTCTCCAATTTACAGATCCCCACCACCTATTTCCGCTCTTCATACTGCCGCCTGTAATACTCTCGATAACTCGCGCTATCTCGAATTTTTCGCCACCAATCTTCATTGCCCAGATACCATTCAACCGTCAGGCGCAATGCCTCTTCAAAATTGTACTTTGGCTTCCAACCCAGCGCCATAATTTTTGATGCATCCAACGAATACCGCATATCGTGCCCGGGCCGGTCAGTCACATGCTGCATCAAATCTTTGGGCTTCTCCAAATACTCCAGAATTTTTTCTGCAACAGAAAGTCCATCCGCCTCATTCTCACCCCCCACATTATAAGCCTCACCCTGCACGCCCTCGTGAAGCACCAGATCAATCGCCTCGCAGTGATCCGTCACATAAAGATGATCGCGAATCGCCGTCCCCGCGCCATACACGGGCAATGCAATATCATCGATCGCATAGCAATATAAATGGGCACGCGCTTCTCGGGATATTGAAACCCACCAATATTATTGGACGCGCGCGTAATCACCACGGGCAAACCATAAGTAATGGCAAACGCCCGCGCCATAAGATCTCCCGATGCTTTCGCCACTGCATAGGGATTGCGCGGCGCAACAGGTGCATCTTCCGTCCACGGATCTTCCCCCTCTTCCAAAGACCCATACACCTCATCTGTACTCACCTGCAAAAACTGCTCGACACCGCAATCTCGCGCTGCAGCGAGCAACGTGTACACACCCAGGGCATTGGACTTCATAAACTCTTCCGCACCCATAATGCTCCGATCAACATGGCTCTCCGCAGCAAAATTCACCACCAAATCAACCCGCTGCATCAACTCATTGACCAACCCGGCATCGCAAATATCACCCCGTACAAATTCATACCGGGGATTCTCCACAACATCCAGCAAATTGTCCAGATTGCCTGCATACGTCAGCTTGTCCAAATTGATAACGCGATAATCGCGATACGCATTGAGAACATATCGCACAAAATGGCTGCCAATAAACCCGGCACCGCCTGTAATGAGCATCGTCTTCAAATTTTCTCCATTTAAAAAGCAACCACCGATAAACACGGATGAACACAGAGCAGTCCAGACCAGTTCATCGTCATCGCGGCATGATGTTGAGCCGCGATCCAGAAGGTTTTTCGCTGACCGCTACGGGACGGCACAGGGACCGTCCCCTACGATGATATTATTAATCCGGTTTGTAGGGGCGACCCCCTGTGGTCGCCCGCGCCGACTATGGATGGTCAAGTTCTCGTCTCACTTCAGCATCTGAGTACACCGCCTCTGTACCTTCTCGGACGCGCTCCAATACTTCTGCGGCAAGATAGTAATCCTCCACATCTTCAAGGCCGCGTTTAACAATCTCCCCGAGAAAGAAATCCTTGCTGCGCCCTGTTCGCGCCACGAGGGAATCAATCCGTTGCTCTGCTTCGGGAACCAGTTGAATAGTACTCGCCATGTTATTGCCTCCATTCATCTAAACATCACCAATTTTTTCCATCAACTGCTGTCGAACATCCTTACCATCAACGATTTTTTCCGCGATGATAAACAGCCCCTTACCATCGCTTTTCTGCTCCCATAGGGCACCTATAGTCCGCTTCTCAGCGGTATCGGACCCCTCGGCGATATGCGCGCCCTTATATTCGATGACAAAAAGACTCCCATCTTCCAACTGTGCGACAAAGTCCGGGTAGAATTTGTCCGTCGCAGTCGGCAGATGGAACGACTCCGGATGACGCGCTACATTGCGAAGCCAGTACTTCACTTTCGCCAGACTGTCGATGATCTCAGCACACTGCATCTCCTCGCCATCTTCAGCGCCGTCAAAGGCGGGAACGCGATCCGGACCTAAAAAATGCTTGCGAGGCTTCCAGCGTCCGCGATAGTATCGTTGATCCCGGTACATCCCATCCACAAATGTGAAGGCAGCGTCGAACGAAACCGAGACTTTAGACTCAGGCACAAAGAGAAACTGCTGATAGACACTATCCCGTTCCTGCTGGCGAATGGCATTGATCTTTTTCTGAATTGTGTTGGCAAGCAGAAATTTACAACGCATCAGAGCAGAGATGGACATGCCGCGTGCCTTGAGCAAGTGATCGACCAGATCGCGCAGCCATTTGAGCAGTTCGATCTGGTGAATATCCATCTGTCGCACCTGCCGGTCGAGCCACAGGACGAGTGCTCTGGCGTCCAGCCTTCCACGGCAATATCCAGAGCCAGTTGCTCATCTTCACTGGCGAACTGATAGGTGACGCGCTTACCTTCAATATCAATCTCAAAACTGCGTGCTGTCTCGCGGATCGTGAACTCATCCTCATCCATCTTCGGCGAATAGGTTAGCAACGACCAATCGTGGTATTCCATAAATACGTCCGTATCGGCAAATTCCAGCGTGCCCTGGATATCCGACATCAAACGCGGAACCTCGAATTTCTCCCCTTGTTCAGCGGGTGATATTCGATCCTTGATCTCGACGCGATATTTCGCAACAGCATCGGCAAAATCTTTTCTCTGCGGTTCGTGCAAAGTCTCACAAATCGTCTTCTCATCGTCCTGACTGATCCAACCCGTAACCGCGACCTCAACCTCTCCTTCAGCCGTTTCGCGCACCAGCAACCCGTCGTGCTCTGACTCCTTGAGCGCGTAAAAGACTTCCGGGGTTGCCGTGATTGTGTGCGTGAATACCGGCTCTAACTTCTGGCGCGGGCCAAACAAGTCGGCTTGATCGTCGAACGCACGCTGAACTGGCTCGATATTGTCGAGGGCCTCATCTTCCTCAAAGCCCATACCCACCAGTTTATCAGTAAGCCCCTTTGCAGCCTCTCCAAAAGACGGTTCAGACAGAAACGCATAGGCTTTGTTGAGATCGGAGACCCCGCGCCTTTTGGCATAAGGCATCCGAAGCACGCGACCGAGAAGTTGCTCCACATCTTTCGCACTTTGAATGCGCGATACAGAGCAGAAAACATAAGCAAATGAACAGTCCCATCCCTCTTTCAGTGCCTCAACCGTGATGATGTACTCGATAGGACAGGCGCGGTCAAACAGGTCAATACCATCGAGTTCGCGCTGGTTCGCCAGTGGCAATGGCGATCTTGTCTTCGGGAATCTGTTCGACTTCCATCAGGTGATCTTTCAGTGCCACGACCGTCACCTCCTGATTTTTTGGCTGTGCCTGGAACAACACAATGGGACGGATATAGTCGGCATCGTCACTCGCGGTCTCTGCAAGAGAAGCGCAAGCGGCAATAGCACCGTTCACGGCATTCTGCCATGTATCGTGCTCGGAAAGCATGATAGGCAACTTGATCATCTCTTCGCGCTTCAATTCCTGCGCCGTAACGCTGTGCAAAATATTTGACCTGATCCGCGGCGTAGCCGTGAACTCGACAATCGCGCACGGATTCACCCGTGCCTGCATCTCCCGGGACAAGCCAGTTACCGCGTTGTGCGCCTCATCCACAATCATCAGCGGGCGATGGATATGGAGCAAATTGGCGAAAGAAAATTTGACACCACCTTGTTCCAGTTTTTCCAACCCCGGGGCGTTGTCCCGGACATTGGAGAAATGCGGCTCCATCTCCTCGTTGTGGGCATACACCTTGCGCCCCTCGGTACTCCTCACCCTCAGCGTTTGAATCGTACCGACCACAATGCAACAATGATCGCGGATATCGTGCGGTCGAATATGCGTGAAATCCGCAATATCGAACACCCGCACCCGACCATCAAAAGCTTCATCCAACACCTGCCGATACGCATGGCGGGAGGTCTTCAGTGCCTCAACCGTCTGCTGGCGATTGGTATTCGTCGGCACCAGCCCAGACACCACGGGATAATCCTTCTCAATCCACGCATTGCGGGCGACAGATACGGCATGTGCAGCGAGAATCGTCTTACCCCCACCCGTGGCAGGCGCAAACAAACATAGGGAACATCAAACAATTCTTTTAACGGAGCATAAGCCCAGCATAGCCCCCAAGCCGCATTGCCTGCTCTGGCTCTTGCGCGATGGCCTCGTACGCATTCGTCTGGCCCGCGGCATCGCGCCTCTCTCACAAAGCGGCGCTAGAATAGATCAGCCGTCTCGGTCTGGTATTGTTTTAAGTTCATAACACATCTGCCTGGCAATGGTTCAGATATTTTTTAGCGGTACATATCTTTCACATAACCACTGATTCATGGCTCAAAATGTACCCCTTCGCATCCGAAATTTTGCTGTACCGCCCCCTGCTTCAACAGGCGAGCCTTAAATTCAGGTTGTGAACAAGTATGCAATACAGCATATTTAAAGCACAATACGGTGTTTAGACGTCTTCCAACGCAAATTATCGCTCAATTTTTGGAGAATTACATTTTTTGGCTTGCCATTTGCTTTGTGTCTGAGTGTTGCGCGTGTCCCACGCACTCACCCCATCAGACCAGGCATCTCACATGGCAGACATTGACACCATATCCAAATACCTGATTCAACACTATCCCGACCACTTCGCGCGCTTTGCCCTCGCGCGAGACGATATTGAGGTCATTGAAATTATCGAAACAGAGCAAACCACAGTTGAAGCCCGCCGAGCAGATAGCTTCATTCGCGTGCGTATCGATGGTCAGGAGGCATTAGTCCACAATGAGTTTCAAACGGCCAGCAGCACCAATCCGCCTATGCCGCGTCGCATGGCTGGCTATATCGGACGCGCCATTGAGCATCATGGCCTG